AATATCTTCTCCCAGTCGCACCCCGAGGCTAATTTTTAGGGTGGGCCGGGCGTTTCGCCGGACACTTCCTCACCATTTATGACCCTGCAGCTGATAAGTTGACGACAGTTACACAGATGGAGGGCAGGTGGTTTTGAAAATGTGGCTCTCGCTCTAGCGCCGCGCGCATTCATTTCAACAAATGGCAAGAGTTTCACGGATTGAGGGCGACCCGTTTTGAACATGTGATTCTCGCTTTAGCGCCGCGCACATTCGTTGTACAGCTTTGCAAGAGATTCACGGAGTGAGGGTGGTTATTTTTCAAATTGGTGATCTCGCCATAGCGCCGCGCACATTCGTTCTGATCAGCGTTTCAGCAATTGCGTTTTGGAAGGGTTCAAGATTGTGAGGGTGTAACAGTTACATTGGTTCGCGATGTTGAAGTCCCAGGAATGACGTTCTGGCACCAGTCAGGATCGTCAAGACGCAACACTCGAGTTGATCCGTGGCGTTGGAATACCGAGAACAATGTTTTGGCATGCTTCAGGGTCTTCGAACGATTGTCTTCCAATGAGGCAGTTCCCTCAGTGGAAATGACTCGTTGTAGGGGCCTATGAAGAGGGAGCTTGGAGGGAGGGTGTATTCCAACATCGTTGACGACCCTCGGATTTGCACTGGTCCTCCTCCCCCTCCTCCTCCTCCTCCTCCTCCTTCTCCTCCTCCTCCTCCTCCTCCTCCTCCTCCTCCTCCTCCTGGTATCGACCATCAACGGCAGTGGTACAGATGTGCCTCCAGCTTGGAGGGCCCCAGGTGGCCGCAGGGACAGGTGGGGCAGAGCTTCGAAAGGAAAGCGTCTCCCAACAGCACCCCTGGACGACAACCCTTGGACCTCCCCTCACGCAGAACGACGCCGACAGGGTCGGCGGTGTTCCGAGACCCTGCACGAGGCTTGAAGCTTGCATTGGATATCCCACCGACAAGATCAGATCTCGAGTAGTTCCAATAAGTGCCCGACATTTGCGCCATTTGCTTGCACCCGATCGGACCCACACATTCTTTCCCCTCCATATCTTCCCTAGGACAGGGCGCAGGGACAGGGAGAGGCAGACAGTCGGAGGCGATCCTAAGGATGGCGCGAGTACAAGTAAGTTGGAAAAAGGCAAACAGGGCAAAATTGACGAGTTAACTGGTAATGACAATTATGTCCTGCCTGGTATTCTGTCTTTGGCGAGTGCATCTCAATTGATTCGGCTCGTTGCAGTCAACGTTGATTCGTACATATCGGGTTGGGCCAGTTCCCTCTGACAAACCTCGATGTTGAGATGGGGACGTGGCCTGCCATGGAGAGGTTCCCGTTCGCACAGGGTGGCACTGACATAGATGCCACGAAGGCAAAGACTGACCTTAGCTTGGGAGGGGTACCCTGCTGTTTTCCGCGCGTGGACCCGGACTCGTCCCTGTGTGGGTATCTCCACGGGCCCCTATCCGGGTCTTCGGCGGAGGGGCCCCCGCTCTCGGCCAGTTCTTGTGCTACTGAGGGGGCCCTGCGCCGACGGTGCCTCAGGACACGGGCACTCCCGGGCCAGGCCCCCGCCGCGGGTCCTCCGGCCCACCGTGCGGCCGCCTCGGTCCCGAGCGCGCGCTCGCGTGCGCCCGCGACAGCCGCCGGCGCGCCCGCGCCACGAGGGCCGCGCGGTCGCCGCGGCGCAACCTGCCGGGCGCGGAGCCCGCGGCCGCACGCGGCCCTTCGCACGGCGCCGACTGTGCGCCCACACGGACCCCGGCCAGGCCGATCCTCCAGGCCCGGGGCCGGCGTTCGCATGCCTTCCTGGAGTCACGAAGATCCAACCTACTTTAGCTTTGTATTTCGAGCACCAGGAAAGCACCAACATTGGAGGAGTTTCCGTTGTCGGGCCATGGAAGGTTATATTTATTCGACATTTTGCTAGCGCGTCGGGCAGACATTCGAAAGTTTTCGGGGTGCTCGAAATTATTTCTCGGATCTGGTCCTTACGTACGAGGGTAACAACACTTGTGGCGTCCAAAATCCAGATAAGAGGGCGCCCGAAGGGCGTGGAAAGGCCCGGCGAAGAACGCTGGAGGGACCTGGAGAGAGCTTCCGAAGGACCTTCTGGAGAGCTTCCGGGCACGCGTATGTGGAAACGCTGAGAAAAGGCCTCTCGGGACACGCTGCAGCCTCAAGCAGGCCGCGCCGAGGTGTCCTGCCAGAAGCCGGAACGACTTGCGGGGCTCCCCTGCGGCTCCGGCTTCTTAATCTGAACCCCTAGCTCTCAGAAAGCCCTCCGGGAATATTCCTGGAAACGAGCCTGGAGGGCGCACCTATGCACCAGTCCTGGGCTTAGGAGGGGGCGTGCCGGGACCGGTGTCGGTGTACAGCCGGGCGCCCTCCGATATATTCCCGCTCCACCCTCCCCCCTTTAGAACTGCCCCTGGCCCGAGGTGCCCCAGGGGCACGTTTACGGCAGGTTCGCGCCGCGTTGACGCGGCGCCCGATCGTTCAAGGTGGAACGCTCCACGGGGTGTCAGAGACCATCGCCGACGACGTCATCGCCACACGCACCTGCCGTAGCGACCCACCTGTAGGGGCCGACGGCGGAGGACAAGGAGGAAGACGAGGTGGAACAGGAGGAGGACAAGGAGAAGCAGGAGGAGGACGAAGGATAGGAGGACGAGGAGGAGCAGGAGGAGGACGAAGGATAGGAGGAGGAGGAGGAGGAGGAGGAGGAGGAGGAGGAGGAGGAGGAGGAGGCAGGAGCAGGAGGAGCAGGAGCAGGAGCAGGAGCAGGAGCAGGAGGAGGAACCCCGTGGCCGGCGACGGCGGCCGCTGGCTCCGCGACGGCGGGGGGCGAGAAGGAGCCGCTCGGAGGCCTGCCGTCCGCCCGCGGGGCGCGGAGCGCGGCGCTCCCCGCGCGCCGAGGGCGCGCGGTGGGCCACGGCGGCCCCACCGGAGGTGCGGGGCTCGGCGGCCCGCCGCGCCCGGGGGGGAGCGCGCGCAGGGGCGCGGAGGCCGGAGGGGGGGGGGCCGCGCGCTCGGCGGCCTCGGGCGGGGGAGGCGCCCGTCCTCCACGGGGGCCGCGCGGGACCGCACGTGGGACGCGATGTTTTGGAGCCCTGTCGCGCCCACATCCGCATCGAGTCCGCGTCGAGTCCATGTCGGGCTCGTCGAATGCGCGTCGAATCCGCGTCGAAGCTACGCCACATCCGCGTCGAGTCCGCATCGAGCCCGCGTCGGGCACGAGGAAAGACACCAGTTTGGGGTGACGGGCGAGGCCCTCCGAAGATGCAACGTAACCAGGGGCGCCGGACATGGACATGATCTTCGAGCCCTGTGGCCCGGGATGCCCCCTGGACCCCCCGAGATTCGCATTGAGGGCGTTACGCAGGAGGGGCCGGGAGTGGACAGAAGTACCCGAGCCCCCAAAGTAACATTACTGAGATCAACATTGGTTTCGGAACTCCCCTCGAGCATGGAAGGGTTCGAATCTGTTGTGCCTCTACTGCAGGGCGCACTGACGAGAGGCTCCGTGCGAAGCACGGAGCCCAGAGCCCCTCGAGCCATGAAGAAGTCGCGACGGACGGCTCGTTGCCAGCTTCCGCCCTGGGGGGCCCTTGGCCTCGGGACCGTCAGCAAGAACGTCTTGCAGGATGACAGGTGGGTCCTGGGGGGGTGATGGGTCGAGACGCTGGGGGGTCGACGTGATGAAGAACATCAGGGCGTCGAGGAGTTTGGGACCCAGGAGCTCGCAGGATGGCGCCCGGCCCTCCCAAAGCAGAGGTTCCAGAGAATCGCTCTTGTCGTTTCGGCGCACGGCGCCTCGTGCGATCGCCGCAGCTGCGGGCCTTGCACCTGGTGTTCCAGGGCGCGGCCCATGTTCTCTCGGCCTGAGCCCCTGCTCGATGGGAAGAGGCATCGATCGATGGGCAGACCCCTTCGGTCCCCTGGCTTTGCGGAGAGGGACCTGGAGCTTGCGACGCTAAGGGGACAGCCGGGCGGCACAGCGTGGCTGCCAACCAGGGGCGGAACGGGTATCCTTCGCGGTCTGGCGTGCGCCAGGTCCGTCATGGAGCGGCCAGCCCGTAGGACGAGAGGCTTTTTGTGCAGACGCGCGGCTGCGAAGCTCGTGTGACCTCGCACTTGTGTCCCTCAGAGAAGCCGAGTGGCACTGCAGCGACTGCCTGGTGATCGTGTCACGCGCGAGAGGAGGCAGGAGGAGGCGGAAGCCTGGAGCATACGTGAGCCGGGAGCTTGCCCCGATGGAGCGCGCAACAAAACGAGTGAGACGGGCACGAGACTGAGTAAACAATGTGGTCGCTCTTGCCCCCGAATAAATCAACAACCCGATTAAGACCGCTCGCTCTTCGTTGCTCGAGGGTCACTCGGCATGCATACCCCCAAATTCCCGGTACCCGCCCTTTTCGTTTTCGCTTGTACTCTTTTGGGGATATAGGATCCAGGGTCCGTCCCCTTTCCCCCCGCGCGATGCCCCCCCCCCACACACACCTTGTGAAAGTGGACCTGTGGGCGTGCGGTGGTGGGCATGGAATCTGGCACTCCCCCCCCATCAGGTGGAGGAGGAGGAGCAGCAGGAGGAGGAGGACAACATCAGCGTCGGCATTGGCATCCGCATCGGCGTCGGCGTCGGCGTCGGCGTCGTCGTCGTCGTCGTCGTCGTCGTCGTCGTCGTCGTCCCCCCATCCCATCTGGGGGGGGGGGCGGGCGGCCCGAGGGACCCTGAGACCCAACCCATCTGGGGAGCGGGGGGGGGCCGTGGGCCCGGAGCCGGGGATCACATATCTTCCTTACTTGCCACGTGTAGTTGTCGAGGCCCCTCGGAAGAGGAGGAACAAGGGACACACGGAGATAATAACAAAGGAAGAAGGAAACGAGAAGAGAGGCTAGCACGAGAGAAATTTGAGATCTGAGGGTCGATGAAAAGGACTCAGCAGCAGAGGGAAGGAAAATAATCAAGAGGATAGGCAAGCGGACTCTGACGGGCGGGTCGGGCGGGCGGACCCAACGAGCGAGTCGGGCAGGCGGACCCTGATGGGCGGGTCTGGCGGGTGGCGCGTCAAAGTGAGCGGGCGGGCTTCCAAGCAAACGAATGGGCGGACCCTAACAGGCGGGTCGGGCGGGACATAAAAGCGGGCGTACAGGCTTCCAAACAGGCGAACGGGTGGACCCTACCGGGCGGGCGGGCTCTGACGGGCGGGTCGGGCCCCCGGGGCATTGAAGCGAACCTCGTATTTTTCCACACGCGCATACACAGGCATTTTTGGCAGTAGGGGCCTCGCGCGCAGCGACGAGGCGGAGCAAGTCGAAACACTGTGCGTGCGGCGGCCGGGCCCTCAAGCATCACTTGGGATGCAGAACCTACCGACATCAGCCAGCCGCGCGTGGATGGCGGCGGGGTGGCACGCATACCGTGGGCAGTGCCCGATCGGCAGCCGGAGGGATGGAGGACTGCATCAGCCATCCGGTCATGGATGGCAGGAAGTGCGCACAGGTACGGACAGGGCTAGGACGAGAGCAAATCCGTTCCAGAGCGTTCTGGAACGCTCACAGAGCGTTCCGAAGCGCTCTGAGAAGTCCGCGGCGCCCGAGACATTTTCCAGAGCCGCGGGATCTCAGAGATTCTCGATCCATCTTCGCCCAACCTTCTCCTCGTCCTGGCTTCGTCTTACTGGTGGGCATTGGCGGCAGCAGGGGCGCCGCCGGCCATAGGGCCTGCCGGGGGGGCGACGGCAGCCACCGCCGGCGGGGGAGGAGGAGGAGGAGGAGGAGGAGGAGGAGGAGGAGGAGGAGGAGGAGGAGGAGGAGGAGGAGGAGGAGGAGGAGGAGGAGGAGGCGGAGACGGCCTCGCCGGGGCCGGCGGCCCGCCTCCCCGGAGCGGCACCGTGGCGGCGGGCGGGGGGGCGGCCAGGGCAGCCTTCCCCGCGGTCGGCTCGCGGGGCCCGGGGGCGGAGGGCGCGGAGGGGGAGGAGGAGGAGGAGGAGGAGGAGGAGGAGGAGGAGGAGGAGGAGGAGGAGGAGGAGGAGGAGGAGGGATGGGCAGACCAAGGTCGGAGGAGAAGCTGGCGGGAAGGCATCGGCGGGGGAGGCGGCAGGCGGTGGGCGGGGCGAAGGATCCGGACCTTTACATGTTCGATGGGATTTCGGATCATCCCCCCCGACCCCGCAATCCATGTGGATCTCAGTGAGGTGGCGCCTTTGGGGGTCGAGTGTTTCTGTCCACTCACGCTTCCTCTTGCGTAACGCCCTCCATATTGATTTCCGGGGGTCTGGGGGGGGGGGGGCATTTTGGGCCACAGGGTTTCAATCTCATGTCCATGACGACGCCCCTGGTTACGTTGCATCTTCGGGGGGCCTCGTCCGTCCCCCAGACTGGTGTCTTTTCTCGTGCCCGACGCGGGCTCGATGCGGATTCGACGCGGATGTGGCGTGGCTTCGACGTGAATTCGACGCGGATTCGACGAGTTCGACATGGATTCGACACGGATGCGACGGGTATGGGCACGACGGGCTAATTCGACCAGGTCCCCCGACCATGCAGCATAACTCTGGGTCTTGCCGGCTCGCGGGTGGAAGCGAGGTCCCTTGTGGCGGCTGGCGGGCCTGGCGCCACGCTGCCGCACCAGGGCGACCTCCTCGGGCGAGGCGCCAAGGGACTTCCCGCGCCTGAAGTGGTGAGGCTTCGAAAGGTGTGGCCGGGCGCCGCCCACGGGGCGAGGGAAGTCGCGGGACGCCAGCCGTGAGCGGCGGGGGCCAGGCGGAGCGTGCCATGGGTGGGCCAATGTTCCACCACCACTGCCATATGTAGGACGGGGCAGAAGAGAGGATGGGGAGGTTCTCCTCCTCCTCCTCCTCCACCTCCTTCTCCTCCTTCTCCTCCCTCTCCTACTTATGGTGATGGTGGTGGAAAATCAGCCCACCAGTCATGAGTGCGGGGGGGTCGCCCACCGACGCACCCATGCGGCCTGGGGAGGGGGCGTCGCTCGCCAGGCGGCCCGCGCCCCACAGGGGCGTAGGCGAGGGTGCGGTGGCGGGCCCTTGATGGTAACGAGACGGATCGCGAGGTCCCGCTTCCGGTCTTGGCCCAGGTGCCGCCCTTCGCGCAGGTGATTGTTGCCCAACGCGTCGCACAAATCGGAGAGGAACGTGGGCTCCAGGAGCCGAGGGTTGGAGTGTAAGAAGGGGTTGCCAGGTGGGGCAGAGCGACTGAGGAAGTCCCGCCAAATATCATGGTTGGTCCAGGGACTGTCTGATGTGGTGAACGCGCGCGAGGAGGTTGGCGGAAGGCTCCGCATGTAACCCAACACAACACGATGTTTGAGAGCGGTTCAAAAGTACGTTTTGAGGAAGTCCTGGGCGAGAACGTGATTCCAGAGTGTCGTGGACGCGGCGCTTGAATAACTGATAAGGAAGTCCTAAGCGAGAGGGCGATTCCGGGGCCAAGCGGAAAGAAGTCTCGAGTAAAAGTGCGATTATTTGATAGATCGTTCAGAAGTCTTAGAGGGAAGTCGTTGTTACGGCAATCGAGGAGACAACATCACAGATTGAGCAGGAACATTTCCCCAGATAACATCCCGGGTGCGAGTCCTGGGGGAGGCGTGTCAATTGATATTCAAATGATGCCTGCCAGACGGGCGGGATCAACAATAGCTACTCTGCAGAAGTAAGAGTTCAACCAAAATGGGATGGCTGGAGAGGTGGCAGCAGTGGCGGCGGCAGCGGCGAAGCGAAGCGAAGAAGCGCTGGCCAGGAAAATACGCAGGCAAAGCGGCACAATGGTGGGAGATGGCACCCGGACCTCCGGCGTCGTGCTTCTGTTGCACGACGTGGGCTTTCTGAGCTCTCGGCGTCGTACCTGAGACCACTTCCTCGCCGCGGGGCGGTGTTAGCGCCGGAGCCCGAAGACGGGCCCTGGAAGCCCGAATGTCGAAAGAGCACCCGTCATGATATTGTTTCGCAACGCCTGGAGGTCTGTCGGCGGCGAGCAAGGGGGGAAGTGAAAAAGAGAAGGTCCTCTCAGAAGGCGGCGGGTCTCAAAAGCCTTCTGGCCATTTGAGAGGTTTTCTACGTCTTCGGGGAAGGCTGAGAAAACTTTTGAGGAGGCTGGGGGACTTCCGAGCCTTCTGGGAAGACCCGCCCTTCTCGCTTCCCCCCGGGCTCGCCGCCGAAAGGAGGGACCTACGAACGGAACGACAGAGGGACAAACACACATTGAATTGTTGAGTCGTAGACCATGTGTTCGGCAGCCCACGTTTCTCGACATCCCAGAGTTAGCCTCAGGTTCACTGGGAAGCCAGGGGTAACCCGCCTCGAGGTTTGCCTTGTCCCTGAGACTGACTGGCCCCAATGGCTCGAAGATGGGGAAGTCCTCAAGACCAGCACCAAGGTGGTGCAAATCACAGGGATAGGGGTGTGCGTAGGGCCTGATGACGGGGTCCACTTTGGAGGGTCCTTTCAAGTCTGCGCTTTCCGATGATGAGCTTGAGAGAATCAGGTGCGGTTGGATCTGGCATTGCACTTCTCAGATAACCGAGTGCGGGCGATAATAAAACATACCCCCCTTTAACCCCCTATATTTTTTATGTTTATTATCCCCGTTTAACAGGATTGAATCGTGGAGAGGGGCGCGGAGGCCTAACTTGATGATCCACGGGGGAAGTTGCGAGTCAAAGTTGCTATCATCTCATGTCGACTAGCAACAGCATCAAAAATGCTGAGCATGGCCATGGTGGTCTCACCAGATCACCTGCCGCAATCACGAGCGTGTGGAAGGGCTGTGGGATTCTCACCAGTTGAGTTTGCCCAAGTCACCATCATCATCATGATCATCGTCATCCTGATCATCGTGATCATCATGATCATCGTCATCAACATCATCATCATAAGTTACCTTCCCCGGGAAAATCCTTTATTATCCCTGCCAGACCCCGGAACTTGATTATCCCCCGGTGATTATTTTCGCCCGTGGTCGGTTACTCAGTCGGAGGATCGGAAGAGCAGCCAGCAGTTGTCCTTCCTGGTGCGTGTTGGAGGAGGAGGTGGAGGAGGAGGAGAAGGAGGAGGAAGGAGGAGGTGGAGGAGGAGGAGGAGGGAGGAAGGATGAGGCGGACGAGGAGGAGAGTAAAGTAGGAAGGGAGGACGAGGAGGACGAGGCGCAGGTCTCTGGAGGTCCCCAGAAGCCTACAGAGGTGTCCAGAGGCCTTCAGAGGCTCGAGAACTGTTACAAGCAGCCGAAATCTCAGAATCTTCGAGGAGGAGGAGAACGACGACGACGACGATGACGAGGACGAGGACAAGGACGAGGACGAGAACGACGAAGTCTTCGGTCTCTGGAGGTCCCCGGTCTCCGGAGGCCCCCTCGATCCTTGAGGAGGGGGACACGGAGGAGCTCTGCAGCAGCGGTCGGCAGCCGGCACTCCTCGGCGGGATCACCGTCGGGGCTATCACGGGGCGGGGGTCCATGCAAGCAGGGGTCAGCCAGAGCGCGGGATTTTGCAGGATGCTGCAGAGCCAGGGGTGCACTGACCCAGGTTTGCCTGCAGGATTCGGCAGGAGTTCGCAGGAGCCTGCAAGGCCTGGCTGACCCTGGTGTGCATGCACCTGGGTCCGTCCCCGACACCGAGGCGGCGGCGCCGAGGAAGGTGAGTTCGGCGGCCTCCTCGCTGGCGCGCGGCCGCTGCCCCGTGCCTCCTCTCTCGGGGGGGGGGGGGCGCAGAGTCTGGGCCTCCCAGATGGGATCGGAGCAGACGGGGTCGGAGGATCCCGCCGCATCGCCGACGCATCGGCGACGCATCGCCGACGCAACGGCGATGCATCGGCGATGCGGCTCGATATGGAGCCCGACTTTCTCCACGCCGACGTCGCCGATGCATTGCCGACGTCGCGGGCGCATCGCCAATACATCGGCGATGCATCGCCGATGCGGATCGATCATCCGACCCCATCTACTCAGACCCTATTTGGGAGGCCTCTATAGAGGCGGGGTGGGGGGCGAGGGAAAGCGGAAGTCCGATCGAGCGCCCAAGGACTTCCCGTCCCGCTTGCGAGAACGGCGTGCTTCGCGTAGAAAGAGGAACGCATGCAACGGAAAAGTGCAACCAATGATGACACCCCTCGTGCATTGCTACACACATGCTCGCATGTATGCTCAGAACGTTCCCTCTAAACCATCCTTGGAATGAGGCAATGGGAGCATCCAGCGAAGTCCATTCCCTGTGCCCTCCTCAGAAGAACCCCCACCTCCTTGACGAACCCCCGACTCTTCCCCTCCGCGCTTCTCCCCCCCCCTCCCGTTTCGCCTCGGGGTGGGCAGCCACGACCGGCGGCGATCTGGGAGGATGACGACGGGGGAGACGTGCCACGCGCCATGCGGTAGTGGCAGTCGTGGTTGCGTTTGCGGTGGCAGGGGGGGCAGACGCGCGCGGCGCCTGGAGGCGCGCGCGCGCGAGAGCGTGCGAGCGCACCCGCGTGCAGAGCTGCCCTGCTATCCGGATTTGGGACGGCCACCGAGGAGACGACGGCGATGATCGGGGACGGCGGCGGCGATCGCGGAGGACGACGACTGGGGAGGACAGTCGACGTCGCCGTCGAGGGCGACGGTCGAGGACGTCGAGGTCATCGTCGACGCCGGCGGCGTCCTCGATCGTCGACCGTCGACGCCCCTGCCTCGAGGAGGAGGAGGACGACGACGAGGTGGCGCAGTCTTGCCCGACTCCTTGTCCATCATCATTTCACGGAACGTCGTGTTTTATTATTTTGTACTGTTCCTTGTTCTCGTCCCTCTCTGGATCTTGTTGTTTGTTTTGACATGTTGCATGCTTTTCCTTCCCGCGGCCCGCCGAAGGCGTCTGACGCTACAGGCGCATCCGCGCGCCTTACAGCCTGCGCAAGAAAAGGACGTGGTGTTGAAGATGACGATGGCGATCGAGGAACGAAACTCATCGTAAACATACACTCTTGGAGGTCCGCGCGGATATCTTGGCTTGGCGCTGGACTCCTCTGGCGGCGGCTCCAGCGCCGACCCGGAACGTCCGCGCGGACTTCCGAATGTTCATGTGCTGGTGTTGGTTCTTCTGGGCGGCGCCGACGGCAAGAGCGAGGGAGGGAGCGCGGCATGTAGTGTCTCTCGCGCGAGTGCGCCCTCCTCGTCCGCCCCCTACTTTCGGATAGGAATTGGGGGATGAGGAGGAGGGCAGGGAGCAGGAGGAGGAGGAGGAGGAGAGTACAGTCGACCTGGATTTCAAGGATGAACAATTTTCCAAGGCTGCCTTTACATCCTTGCCTTTCGGATAATCCTTGGCCGTTTTCGCTGGCCGCGCCCCGCCCGCAAAGTGCCGACATGGCTTCCCAAGATCTTTGCATCCTTGACGCGCGTTCTGAGTAAACAGGTTGGTTGTACACCCAGGATGTATCAACGGCGTTGTGAAATACAGCCCGCCCCAAGCCCCGACTTCACCGGTTCCTGCGGGGACATTCCTTTTTTCTTCGCGGGGGGTGCCTCTTCGAAGACGAGCACCCCACGAACCCACCATTCTGGCGAAAACCCCGTTTTGAAAAGGGACTGCTTGAGCAACGCGATACAACCAGAAAGTTTGCCTGTCGGGTCATGCGTGTTGAGGACCCACCGGGAAAGCGAATGAGAGAGCGAAACCTTGAAAAGTGAACCGCGCTCCATCCTTGTAGTTGCTGCACAAAGTTTCGCTTCGGGTCGTCAGCATGAGGACGCCTCGTGCGAGAACCGCCCGTCACACTGGTAACATCAGGTGCCTGCTACACAAGTTTGCACTTCGGGCCCTGTTTACGTTGAGGAAATCTCACGAGAAGAAAAAAAACTAGTTTGAAGAAGAACCGGCCTCCAGCCATCTGACGATTGGAAGTTTGTTTAATGACTGTGCGCGACGCTACGGCGAAAACCACATGTTGAACAATTGCCCGCCATCCATCGTTTGAGTTGCTGGCGCTGCTGAATACGAGCGTGCGTGGTGTGAAGGCGATACCCACATTCTGAAATTCGTGTGCCGTCCATCCTTGCAATTACTTGGGGTCCAAGGTCACGAGGTCGTAAGTTGTGAGGAATGTATGCCGGTGAAGTGCCCGAGAAGTTGACACGCCTCGTGTTTCCGTGCGACGGACAGGTGTCTTGATTTCGACCGCGGTTTTCGTTCATGTTCATTGGACGTTCATTGCACGCCCATGGTATGTTCATTGTATGTGTCCCGTGAGTTTGCTGCAGCCGCAGGCACTGCCGCATAGCGCGTGATCGACGTAGGGCGCCTGGCGTAGTTGGCGCGCATGGCGTGCTAAGCACATGTGGCACACCTCGCGTACACCGCGCGTATGCGCATTGCCCATATGTCGCCCTTGGCGCACACTGCGCACTTGTTGCGGTTGGCGCACCTGGCGCGTATTTGGCATTTGGCGCATCCAGCAGATTCCTCATCGTAACTTCCCAAGCGTAGCACCTAGTATTGGCGATGGTTGGAGAAAATGCACTTGCACCGTTCGGGCGCCAAGGCAAACTTAGGAGATGTTTCCCTCCCTTCGTCCCCGACTTTAGCCGTAAAAGCGGGCGCTTCTATGCAGAATGGAATGCACTTTGGATCGTTGTCGAACCAAAGTGGCGCAAACGTATGTGGCAGCGTGTGTTTGTGCTGGTCCTATGGTGGCTGCTTGTGCGTGTGAGCACTCCAATGTTGCCCTCGCGTGCATGTCGAACAAGTGAAGTAGCAACTTCAACTGTTTGCAGCGTGAGAATTCGGATGTGTAATCGGCATTTTATGTATGCAATGCATTCCCGAGCGTGGTCTCTTACGATGCCGCATTGGCATGCGACGTACACTATGCAGTGTGGCAAATTTCTCGACGCGTGTGCGCAACCCGTCCGAAAGGCGGCAGATGTCACGGACAGCGAGATCGAGGAGCGCTACAGGGTTGCCGTCTGCTGCTGTGCGTTGTTTGTGTGTATGTGTGTGTTTGTTCGCTCAGTGTTCACCGTCGAAGTATCCGCCTGGAGGATTAAGCTTCTGTGAGCGGGAAGATATTCACGTTGTAGACGGGCCATGGTCAATTCCCTAAGGCTCTGCATGCACGAGCGTGTGAAGTACACCTGTGTCGCCAAAGACATGCCCAGCTCATCGGCGTCATCGGTGTTCAGACCTCGTGGTGAGGCAGAGTTGCTGAGCGAATTGCATTGCAAAATTGAGCTGTGCTGCGTATGCCCATGCATAAACAGATCAGGAGACACGCTCTCGCTTTTCGATCGGGCGTGCAGTTATGTTGTTTCTGGGTGTTCACATGTGGCTCGCGAAGAGCAGCCGAGCAGACCGACCAGAAATTGCGTTTCCATGGCGAGTGTGGGGACCCCGTCGCATGAGAACTCAGAGCCCGCACCAGACTAGATTTCCACCACGTTCAGGCTGTACTTCTCCACGTCGTCCGCACCCGTGCGTTATCTCATAGTGATTGTGGCTGGCATTTGCAGCGAGGTCAAGTGATGTTTTGGGGTCCGAGTTGAGCTCATGGTGTTTTCCATCCATTGCATCGTATTCCTCTTACTAGTTTCGCGTCGGAGCGTTGATGGAGAGATATGCATTCCTTTGCGAGGCAAAGGACGGATTGAGCTGGAGCGGGGTACGCATTGTTGGATGGGCGCTTGTGAATGCGATCGATCAGCCTCGTCGATCAGTGGCGTCGCCCTCTCTGCTTTCGTGGCACTCGGTGTTGAATTGTGGGCACTTCAGGAGTAGGTGATGAAACTCCCGAGGCATCTACGCTGGACCCTCGTGCGTCGAGTCCGCCATGGCCGCCGACCCAGCGGCCGTGTTGCACGCTTAGTGGCGAGCGAATAATTGCTTAATGCAGGGCGACCGCGGACGTTTCGGTGGCTTACCTCCATGCCGAAGAATTGCGTTGATCCACTCTATCCGAGGCAATGTTGCGTCGGCAATGTTGACTACGTGGTTGACCAAGTCCTTTCCACTTGTTTGTGCAATCACCGTCACCATTTATCATCATCCTTGGCTGCATTCGACCACCATCATCAGCGTCACCGCCGCCATAACCACCGTCACGACCATCGTCACCATAACCACTGCCACTATACGCACTAAGCATCCTATCTGCCACCGTCTCCCAGCTCGAGCTCAAGTGCTGCTCGAGTTCGCACCAATATAGGTGACACTCGTGCCACAAAGCCGGCACCACAGCACGAATAGCGCAGGCGGCTCGGGGACATCCTAATACATTTCGAGCCAGCCTGCGCAAGGACTAGCTCATCCAGCATCCCCAACCCCCACCCGCGAGCCGCCCGCAAGAGGAACGTGTGATGAGGTGCGCGCCGAGGTGTGATGAGAAGCGAGCCGCCCGCAAGGGCGATGTGAGATGCTTGAGGAGCGGGAGTCCCTTAGGATGATGTTGGTTGTGATGGTCGGGCGGGTGGTAGTGGGGGGTGGCCCAGCATTGGTTCTGGCCAGCAGGAAGGGCGGGCAGGTTCGAGTTTTTGGGTGCGGGAAGGTTTTTTTCATAATTTTCAGCCTCTGGGGGCCATTTTCGGACCTTGGGACCGCGAAAAACGGATCCAGGGTGAAAAACTGCACCAGACGCACCCTGGGCGGGGTCCGGGGACCAATTTTGATCGGGCGGGTGGCAACGGGGGGTGACTTAAAAATGGGGGTTGAAGAAAAGGGCCCAGAAGGGACCCTGAAGGGCTTCTTTTGGAGCCCTCTTCTTCACCCCCCATCTAAGCCACCCACCAGTACCACCCGCCCGAACTGGCGTCGGTCATGGCGTTCTCGCCCCAACGTCCTCCCAGGTGGCACTTCGCGAATGTGGTCCGTGCCGCCGGACGAGCCGCCGTGCCGGATGCACCCGAGTGCCCCGCAGAGCGCTGGCGACGGGTGCGAGTCGAAGCGGCGGTTGGCGGCGGTCTTGGGCGTGCTCATGGCGACTATCGTGGTGGTGTCGCTCCTCGCCATTCCGAATATGAAGGGGGCTGGGTCAAGGCTGGCGGCGCGCACAAAGGAGATGGCGCGAGGGGGCGGCCTTCCAAGAAGGTGGGATGCTTCTAGGAAGGCATGGGGGGGGGATTCTCAGGAGCCCTCCCTGCTTCTAAGGAGCCTTCTCGGGAGCCCTTCGGGTACTTCCAGCCAGGCCCCTGCCATCTGCCTTCTCAGAGGGCGACCCCCCTCGCCCCCGCCCCTTGTGCCCGCCCTGCGCCGAGGGGCGGCTCCACAGTTCCGGCCAGAGCGCTGCAGAACCCGGACGGCTCGGACTGGACTGTTTGCAGGCAGAGCCCAGAGAGGCTCCAGTGCCCCGCCCTGGATATGTTCGACGACCCCGCTGTCCACCAGAAGGCGCGGCTCGCAGCCAACAGGGTGGGCTGAGTGTCGCGCACCTCCCCCTTTGACTCAAGAACGGCTCCCCCGCACGCACGCCGAAAAGCACCCTGCAAGGGTGGTAGCATGTCTTCAGCTCGCCCCGAAGCGCAACATGCCAGGATCGAGGAGAGCGAGGATGTGGAGGAGGAGGAAAGGGAGGAGGAGGAGGAGGAGGAGGTGGAGGAGGAGGTGGAGGAGGAGGGGGAGGGAGGGGGAGGAGGAGGAGGAGGAGGAGGAGGAGGAGGAGGAGGATGAGGAGGAGGAGGAGGAGGAGGAGAAGGCCTCAGACGGAGAATAAGTGATGAGGATGATTGACGGTTGTGACGGCCTCTGTGTATGCTTCAGGCGCCGAGAGGGGGCAATCTAGTCGGTTCTGGGGTACCGAAGCGACGAGGCAGCGAGGCAGCGAGTGCAAAGCACAGTTGGGGCATCAAGGCAGCGGGGCAGCGAGTGCACAACATGCTTGGGGCAGCGAGGCAGCGGGGGCCTCCAGCAGCCGGCCCGCAGCTGTAGTCGAATTTCAGGAAGTCCATCCCGATCCTCGCCTCGCCCCCCCACGAAAAGAGCAATTGGGGCTTTCGCTGCCGAGTGCGATGTGCCGAGCAACTCGCTCTGGGCGGTGCCCGGGCGCAGGGGTTCCTGGCTCTTTGTAGGCTGCGCCAGACCAGCGCGACGACCAGAACTCGAATCGTCTTTACGCCTCGCCTGCGCCGAGGGCCTACCCTCCCCAAAACCCGAATTCCCTTTCCATCCCTCACATTTCCCTCCCTCTCCCCCGTCAGTGTTTCCCCATGCGGTCGAGCATCTGATCATGAAACCTCCTTCCGAAAAGTTGGGCCAGCATTTCTCAGCCAACTTGCCAGAAAGCTGGCCCAGCTTCTTGAGCACGTTCGACCCTCCAACGTTAAGAACAGAAGGTGGCCCAGCTTTGTCTTAAGTCACTTCCAGGAAACTTGCTCAGGTTTCTTCATGGATGATTTGTTTGATCACACCTACGGCTCTAATTATCTAAATTGTGAATGTCCCCCTTCCTCCCGACATCCTTCCCCGAAAGGTGATAGATGATTTGATCTGGTCCAGCCATGAGTTCCTCGGGATCGAGGCGCGAGGGGACATCAGCAAGGTCGTCGGGGAGACCTTCAGCGGAATCCGCGAGAACGCTAGAGGAGCCCGATCCGTTTACCAGCGCTGGATCAGACTGACACCCGTCGATATGGATCGGGATGGCCATCGATCGGTGGGAGGTCCCGCGCTGTGGGATCGATCGGGTGGCCCAGACCAGACTCGGTCTCAGGCCTTGGGTCGGCCCTGATTGGAGGGGGAGCTTCTTAGGTGCGAAACTCCTGACGAGGGCTCCAGACGTGGCACAACACGTCAAGAATCTGCAGCTCACCTCCTCCGAAAGCAGCGCGGCTGTGAGCGCCATGCAGCTGATTGTTGACGAGAGGGTTCAGTCGATCGGCCGTGAGGTCGCAGTTGCTATGCTTAGCAGTCTTCCGAAAGAGGATTACGAGAGTGACGGGGGAAGCCTCACTATTCAGCAGCGGGATGCGGTGTTGGCTGGTCTGGACGAGAGGTTGCGGCCAAGACTTGATGATATCAGGAAGATTGTTGATGCGACGGTGTCCCCGCCGTTGCGCATGCTCTGGGGAGAAGGAAGACAGGACTTACTTCCAAGCCTTGCGCTGAGCTCGTGGGAAATGGCATTGGAGCCCTCTGTTGTGTCGACGCTCCGAGCATCCAGTGACAAGATGATGATGGTCCGCAGGCTCCAGGGGAACTCCACGTTGTCCGCACCACCCAGGAACTTGCTCACTGAGATGACGGACACAGGAAGGCAAGATACCATCCTCGGCGCGACTTTGATGTTGGGACGGACGCTCTTGAACGCAATGCAGATGTACATGCGGCTAACATCCAACAGCATGGCTCCTCTGAGCGACACCTATGACGTCACCGACGAAATGCCAAGCGTCAGATGTAAGGTGGATGGTAGAGCTCACCAACATACACCTGATGTGGAGCCCCATCAAATTGCGCTTTGCTCATTTAAGTTTGGTATCCTGGGGGCTGATGCTCTAAGAGCTACTTTCATGGCAGATCAAATGACCTCGTGAACCATCGGCTGTCACATAGTCATGTCCATATTGTTTGAAGTTACGCGGCGCCTGCTGCGATTCTTCTATTCTCAAGCTGAGATCCCTCATACCATAGATTGAGGTTCTGCTTGGCTCGGAGCTGCTGTTCGCCAACCTTGGCTTTCGAAAACTAATTAGATAATGTTCTTGTTGATGGCTTGCCGGTGATTAACACCTGCATGCTGCGGGATCAGGGAACTTAGCCAACTTAAAGTCCATGGCTGTTGAGATGTAGGGTAGGGCGTGCATTGTGCCTCAAGGTGTGAAGCTTTCGAGTGTTTCCCAAGCAGCCTTTACACTGAAGGGGCTCTCATGGACAAAGAACTGCCGCAGGTCGCCAAGGGTTTCTGTCGCTCGGCCTTGCCACTGGGTGTGCCCAGCCCTGGTACTCTTCTGTGTCGCCAGGGGGCCTCGTTCGGTCCTGTCCAGGGCTGTCCCACGGTGTTTTGTCCTCCGTTGCCCAGGTGCTCTTTCGTCTCGCCCCGTCCCACTGTAACCCGCAGCGCCTGAAATATGGATTGCTCCCGACCCTCGAAACGGTCGCATCGTTCGTTCGGAGGGGGGGGTATCGATCCAGGGGTAGCTCGGACAGCAAAGAGAAGGAGGACGAGGAGGAGGAGGAGGAGGAAACCCAGGAGGACGAGGAGGAGGAGGAGGAGGAAGGGGAGGATGAGAGGTCAAGTCAGCCCAGGTCGGGCGAGTCAGAGGGCCCTCCCATTCCCACCCTGCCTCCCGCAGCCCAAGAATGTGCTGTGGCGCAACAGGACATTAAGATTGGCACGCGTTCCCGCCTAGCGAACGCAAGGCGCCCGCGTGCGGCCCCGCTTCCGACGATGTGGCGAAGGGAAAGCGACGCAGGCCGCCATGAGCGGGAGCGACAGAACTTCCGATGAGCGCGGCGAAGACGAGGCATGCGCCGCTTCCTGCCACGCTATGCAGGGCGCGATGTGCGCCGCGACCCAATCATGCCACGCTGTCTGCCTCGTCGACGAGTAGCGCAGGGCGCGATGTGCGCCGCACCCCATTCCTGCCACGCTTTTCAGGGCGCGACGTGCGCCGCGCCCCACCCCCGCCACGATACTTGCCTTGTCGCCGAGACGCGCAGACCGCGATGTGTGCCGCGTGCCATTCCTGCCACGCATCTCGCATCGCCGACGACAGGAGCCCAATGAGGAGGAGGAGGGGGAGCAAGCATCGACGGATGAGGAGAAGGAGGAGGAACAGGGAGGAGGAGCAGGGGAGGAAAGCAGCAGCAGGAGGAAGGCGGGGGAGGGTGAGGAGAGAGAGAGAGAGAGAGAGAGAGAGAGAGCAGGGGGGTAGGGGGGAGGCGTCGACCCATAAGCCCGCGCGGACCTCCGAGAGCTCTATCCTCTAGCATGTGAGAGTTACTCGCCGAGGCTCTCGGGCCAGACTTGTCTTCGCCGACGCGTCAGAGTGCCCATCCGCCGGGGAGTGACCCTTTGGTGCTACGCCAGACGGGGCGTCGCCCTCAGCAGCAGCGCACCAATCGAGTGGGAGATCGACTACATAACTGATTCGCCCCAAAATTCCCTACCTAGGCTCTGCCTAGAAGGGTTCTTACCCTCTTTGCTTAAAAGGCCGGGCAGTGTTGCCGGCCCCGGGCGGTTCCCCCCGGATCCGCCCCGCGGTTCCCCCGGCAACCGGGGTTCCCTACCTAGGCTCTGACTAGAGGGTTAGCTTAGCTTAGCTTAGCTTAGCTAATCTCATCTTAGCTTCGCCGAGCCTAACCTAGCTTAGCTTAGCTTACCTTACCTGAGCTTACCTTAGCTTAGCTTAGCTTAGCTCAGCTTATCTTAGCTTTGCTCATCTCATGTTAGCTTAGCTTTGCTTAGTTTAGCTTAGCTTAGCTTAGCTTCGCCTCGCTTAGCTTAGCCTAGCCTAGCTTAGCTTAGCGTAGCTTAGTTTAGCTGAGTTCAGCATAGCTTAGCTTAGCGTCGCTTAGCTTAGCTTAGCTTAGCGTAGCTTATATCATATTAGCTTAGCTTAGCTTAGCTTAGCCTAGCTTAGCTTAGCTTAGCTTTGCTTAGCTTAGCTTAGCTTAGCTTAGCTTATCTCATCTTAGCTTAGGTTAGCTTAGCTTAGCTATATTAGCTTCGCTTAGCTTATGCTGGTTTCCTAGGGGCTCCAACTCCTAGGTAGGGTCGCACTGGGATAATTGACGTGCTCGTCGAATATACGAAACATACGTCGAGTGCTCTTACATCTGCATCCATTTGACGTGTTTCCATCGTTGATTCGACGGGGATTTCAAGTTTGGGGCAAGTCAATTCTTCAGTTGATCCCCTACTCGAACCGAAGGTCACCCTTGGCGAAGGTCACCCTCACGCGGAGCCCACGCTTGCGCTCCACAGCGCCGCGCAGCGAGGGCGGCACACACAGCTCCTGCAGGGGCCGGGGGCCGCGAGGGCAAAGGCACCACACACCGCAGCCCAACTTCAGGGGCCGGCACCCTGCTGTCTAATTGGCCAACGCCGGAGCACGGACGCCCGCACCCGACGGTGCTAGCGAGCGCAGCGCGGTGGACGAAGGAGTGTCAGTCTTCATGGAGAAGTCGAGGAAAGAAAACGACGCCGGTCTCCTCCTCCTGATGCTCCTCCCGCTCCTCTCTCGCAGCGGCTTCGGCCGGTCCCACTCCGTGCTCGCGGGCGCGCGGGCCCCCGCGGGCGGGCGCCCGACCGTCGCGCGTACGGGACTCCACGGACGCCACCGGGGGACAATTTCCGAAGAGGGGGAGGAGGAGGGGAAGGCCACCACACCATCCATTTTCTATTACCCGCCATCCTGAGGCGCATCGAGAAAGACAGGGGCAGGAGGGAGCGGCCGTGCCGATGTACCTTGCGCGTAGCGATGTACACTGCGCATCTTGTCCGTAGCGCTGAGGACGTCGCACGTTCCAGGCATTCGGTAGCACAGTGTGTCAGTAGCGCGGTGCCGACTTGTTCTACCAATGTGGGTAGTTCCCAGCAGTCATCCTCACTCAGGCGTTTGCGATTCGACCGTAAATCACATCGAAAGCACGTTCGTCGTCACACAGCGTTAGGAAGAAGTTCGCTACGCCTGGCTGCCCTTCCGCGGCTGCCATGTCGTATAACTTCTGGAACATATCATCATGTTTGAGCACATTGTGATACTGGAAAGACTCGGCCGCCATCTGGAAGATAGCGCCAAGCTGGCGCTTCGTATACACACCAATTGCTTCGAGGTTGCCCGGCTTAGCGATCATGGATGTACTGCCAGACAGAAAGGCCCAGCGCCCGCTACCAGCATTGTGGGATCCAAGTGCGCCTTCGAGCCTTCAAGCTTAGCAGTCTTGCAGTGAGCCCTTCGGCGAGTGACCCAGCGTGCTCTGGAAAACTACGGCGCTCTCGTAGCCCAGCGTGTTCTGGTAGCCTGGCGCCTTCTCGTAGTCCAGCATGTTCTCGTGGCCCAACGTGGGCTTGTGGCGCAGCTCAGTCTCATAGCCAAGCGAGTTCTGGTGGCGCAGCGCGTTCTCGTAGCGCGGCATGTTCTCTTAGCCCAGCGCCGTCTCGTGCCCCTGCGTGTTCCCGTGGCTCAGTTCGCTCTTGTGCCCCAGTGCTTTCTCGTGGCCCAGCGCGTTTTGGTGGCCCAGCGTGTTTTCGTAGCCCAGCGCCGTCTCGTGGCCTTGCGTGTACAGGTGGCGCAGCATGTTCTGGTGGCCCAGCCCCTTCTCGCCCAGCGCGTTGTGGCCCAGCGTGTTCTCGAAGTCCGGCGCTCTCTCTCGGAAGCTGGGCGAGGGTTGCTAAAACCATGGCTGCTAAAACGGCCCTCCCAGAAGGAAAAAACAACTTCCCGGAATGAGGCGCGGCACGCGAGACAGTCAGCGGGCTTCTTCCCGGAAGGACGAAGACAACTTCCCAGAGGTCAATTTTAGCAGCCACGGATTCAGCAGCCCTTGCCCGGCTTCCGACTCTCGTAGCCCAGCGTGTTCCGCTAGCCCAACGTTTTCGCGTGGTTCAGCATGCCCGGCGAGCTCTGGAAGCGCAGCTCCGTCTCGTAGCCCAGCGCCTTCTCGTGGCCCAGTGCTCTGGTGGCCCAGCGTGCTCTGGTGGTTCAGCGCCTTCTCGTGGCCTAGCGTGTCCTGGTTGCGCAGCGTGTTCTGGTAGCCCAGTGCCTTCTCGCGGCCCAGCACATTGTAGTGGCCCAGCGTGTTCTCGAAGGGTGTCCCCGCATATGGCGGCCTTCATCCTACTCCTCCCCCTCCTCCCCTCTCGGAGAACAGAAAATCTGCATGAACATAATGAATTTCGGAGGCCCGCGTGGATTTAATGAGTCGGTGCTACCTCTGGCGCCACCCTCTGGTGTGGGGGGGTCCAGAGCCGACCCAAGAAATGCGTGTGGACCTCCGCAGGCTTCTGCTTAGATGCGGACTTGTGTCATTATGAAGATAGCTCCTGTGGGTAAGGGGTCTTCCTGTTTCCCTGTGTTCGACCTGCTGATACCCTTCCTGGGCTTCTGGACCGTCACAGACCGCTCAGGATGAACAGCACGTCCTGGGCAAAGGCCAGGATCGAAGACCAGTCTGCCTCAGGACAGCTTTCCCTCATGCCCATTGCAGTGTGAAGCGAAATCGCTGGCGGGGGGCAGAGGCGCATGGAGATCCGATGCCCCGCGGTCACGCAGGCTGGGCTGAAGAGTTACCCTTCTCCATGGGGGCCGTTCGAGTGCGCGAAGACAATCGCGCTGCCCGAAGTTAGGGGGCTAGATGGGCTTGTGATCTTTCGAGACGCGCGGACACGGAACGCAACAACGGGGCGGTGGTAGTTCGAGTCGCTTTGGGACAGACCGCCCCTGGTGAAGGAAGGGCATGCTGCAGGCGGTTCTTCGTTTGCTATAACTTGCACGGGGGCGCGGCACTTCTGGACTTGCCCCTTTGACTTGCGCGTGCCAGGGCGCGCCGTCGGTCGCTCGAACCGTGGCCATACACAGCTGCAGGCGAC